GGACGCTGGGCAACTACATCGCCATCCTGAACAACCGCTCGTCCTGCCAGAAGATCGTGGAGCGGGACGTGGCCCACACGCTGAAGCTGCTCCGCGCCTGCGCCAAGCACTACCAGAACGGCACTCTGGAGCCCGACTGCTGGGACGCGGCGGCCCGCAGGAAGGACCAGCTCAAGTGCGCCCACGTGCCGCGCAAGTGCGCCAAGTACAACGCCGTCTACCAGATCCTGCACTACCTGGTGGACAAGGACTTCCTGGCCCCGAGGCCGGCCGACCAGCCCGCGCCCGCCCTCAAGTACAGCATGCTCTTCTCGCCCACCGAGAAGGGCGAGAGCATGATGGGCATCTACCTGGACAACTTCGAGCGCTGGAACGCGTCCGACGGCGTCACCACCGTGGCGGGCATCGAGTTCGGCATCAAGCACAGCCTGTTCCAGGACTACCTGCTGATGGACACGGTGTACCCCGCCATCGCCATCGTCATCGTCCTGCTGGTCATGTGCGTGTACACGCGCTCCGTGTTCATCACGCTCATGACCATGTTCGCCGTCATCAGCTCCCTGATCGTCGCCTACTTCCTCTACCGCGTGGTGTTCAACTTCGAGTTCTTCCCCTTCATGAACCTCACGGCGCTCGTCATCCTCGTGGGCATCGGGGCGGACGACGCCTTCGTGCTGTGCGACGTGTGGAACCACACCAAGTGCGACAAGCCGCGGGCCGACACGGCGGAGGCGGTGGGCGCCACGCTGCAGCACGCCGCCCTGTCCATGTTCGTCACCAGCTTCACCACGGCCGCCGCCTTCTACGCCAACTACGTGAGCAACATCACGGCCATCCGCTGCTTCGGCGTGTACGCGGGCACCGCCATCCTGGTCAACTACCTGCTCATGGTCACCTGGCTGCCCGCCGTGGTGGTGCTGCACGAGCGGTACCTCCTGAACGCACTCCCCTGCTCCCGGGGGCCCCGGCCGCGGGCGCACCCCGACAAGGGCTGCTGGGCCGCGGCGCGCCGGGCGGCCCGCCGGGCCCTGCTCGCCGCCTCCGAGGCCTCGCGCGTCTTCTTCGAGAAGGTGCTGCCCTGCCTCGTCATCAAGTTCCGCTACCTCTGGCTCCTCTGGTTCCTCGCCCTGACGGTGGGGGGCGCCTACGTCGTGTGCGTGAACCCCAAGATGAAGCTGCCCTCCCTGGAGCTGGCCGAGTTCCAGGTGTTCCGGGCGTCCCACCCCTTCGAGCGCTACGACGCCGAGCACAAGAAGCTCTTCATGTTCGAGCGCGTGCGCCACGGTGAGGAGCTGCACATGCCCATCACGGTGGTCTGGGGCGTGTCGCCCGAGGACAACGGCAACCCGCTGAACCCCAAGAGCAAGGGCCGGCTGACGCTCGACAGCAGCTTCAACATGGCCAGCCCCGCGTCCCAGGTGTGGATCCTGCGCTTCTGCCAGAAGCTGCGGAACCAGACGTTCTTCCACCAGACGGACGAGCAGGACTTCACCAGCTGCTTCATCGAGACCTTCAAGCGCTGGATGGAGAATCAGGACTGCGACGAGCCGGCCCTGTACCCGTGCTGCAGCCGCTGGAGCTTCCCCTACAAGCAGGAGGTGTTCGAGCTGTGCATCAAGCGGGCCATCATGGAGCTGGAGCGCAGCACCGGCTACCACCTGGACAGCAAGACGCCGGGGCCCCGCTTCGACATCAACGACACCATCCGGGCCGTGGTCCTCGAGTTCCCCAGCACCTACCTCTTCACGCTGGCCTACGAGAAGATGCACCAGTTCTACCGCGAGGTGGACGCCTGGATCTCGCGCGAGCTGAGCTCGGCCCCCGAGGGCCTGGGCAACGGCTGGTTCGTCAGCAACCTGGAGTTCTACGACCTGCAGGACAGCCTCTCGGACGGCACGCTGGTGGCCATGGGGCTGTCCGTGGCCGTGGCCTTCAGCGTGATGCTGCTCACCACGTGGAACGTGATCATCAGCCTGTACGCCATCGTGTCCATCGCCGGCACCATCTTCGTCACGGTGGGCTCCCTGGTCCTGCTGGGCTGGGAGCTGAACGTGCTGGAGTCCGTCACCATCTCGGTGGCCGTGGGCCTGTCGGTGGACTTCGCCGTCCACTACGGGGTGGCGTACCGCCTGGCCCCGGACGCCGACCGGGAGGGGAAGGTGGTCTTCTCCCTGAGCCGCATGGGCTCCGCCATCGCCATGGCCGCCCTCACCACCTTCGTGGCCGGCGCCATGATGATGCCGTCCACCGTGCTGGCCTACACGCAGCTGGGCACCTTCATGATGCTCATCATGTGCGTCAGCTGGGCCTTCGCCACCTTCTTCTTCCAGTGCCTGTGCCGCTGCCTCGGGCCGCAGGGCGCCTGCGGCCAGATCCCGCTGCCCCGGAGGCTCCGGTGCGGGGCCTTCTCCCGCCGCCGCCTGCCCGCGAGCCCGCCGGACAAGGGTCCGAGCAAAGCGCACGGCCTGGGCGCCTACCAGGCGGGCCCCCGGGGCCAGAACCCCGGCTCCTCCGAGCAGGAGTTCTATGAGCTGGAGCCTCTGGCGTCCTCCCCGCCCAGCGGCCCCGCCTCCGAGAAGGCCGCCTACGAGGACACCCACGTCTGCCCCGAGTTCCTCACGGGCCCGGCCAAGAGCGCGGGGGTGCCCGTGCCCGCGGCGTACCCCGGCGAGCCGGGCCAGGGCGCCAGGAGCGAGCCGAGCCCCGCCCTGCTGCAGCCGGCGCTGCACTTCCTCTCTCTGAGCCAGAGGTGCGGCTGCCCCGGTGCCTACAGACGCCTGCAGTACGGCCCTCCCCCTTGCCAGCAGGTGGGGGACGGCCTGTGCCACCAGTGCGCCCGCGCTGCTGCCGCTGCTGCCGCCGGCAGCTTCGTGCACATGCAGAACGGCGTGGCCCCTCTGCCCCCCATGGCGCACCCCGTCCCGCACGTCCACCACTGCCCCTGCCTGCAGGGCAGAGCGCCCCCGCCCCGGGGCTGCTGCCTCCAGCCCGGGCAGCACACGCAGGCCCAGGACACCACGGGCAGGGCCAGCGGGCACAGCAGGCAGGGCCTCGAGGTGGCCGAGCTGGCAGCCCTTGTCCGCAGGAGCGCGGGGTCCTCGCCAAAAGCAGGCGACCCTGAGGACAGCCAGAGGGGGCCCGGTCCCCAGGGAGACGCGGGGACCGCGGCGGGCGGGCCGGGGGCCGAGGACAGGGAGTCTGGGTCGTTGGGGCAGCCCGACGGGGCGGACAGGGGCGCCGAGCCCCCCTCGCCACAGACCGGCGTCCCCGTGAACTCCGAACACTTACATCCCAACGAACCCGCGTTTCTACCGAACCGTTTGGCGGGGGAGGCCGGGTGCGGGGCCCGCCCGCCCGGCGCCCAGGGCTGCGGCAGGGCGGCCCGGGCGCGATGCGGGGCCGCGCACTGCCGGGTGCCCGCCTTCGAGGCCGCCGCGCCCGCCGCCTTAGCGCACGCGGAACTTTCCGGCGAGAGTCTGTTAATAAAGACACTTTAATAAATGCAGTATTAAATCCTGAACCCCGACCCGGCGCCTCGATCGTTCCTTTGAAGGGGAAATGAGACCCACGAGGTCAGAGAAGGAGCCACATGTGCAGGAAGAAGGTCCCCCTTTGTTCAAGGTCCCGGGAGATGCGTATTCCGTGTGAACGAGGTGGTGGCAGGTCTGGTTTATGTTTTCAGAAAGTCCAGTTGTTTGCCCCCTAAATCCGGTTTGAAAAAGAAGGGTCTCCTCGCAGTGAGCCAGCGCGGAGTGTGAGTTAACCTGGAAGTTTCCTTTCTCCGGGAGCCCCATCTGCCTGGGGGCCTCTTCTGGTGCCTGTGGGTGTCCGCAGTGAGGACATTTGATTGCACCTCCGATGTGGGTTTTAGGAGAGCGCCTTCCGCTGGAGCTGAGGAAGTCTAACCCTCGGCATCCTGCCTTCAGGTCGGTCCCTCTGAAGGAAACTGGTGGAGGTATTTCTAAATACCACGCCCCCCCACAAAAGTGCATTTGTTATTTTCTAGGAAGAGTTTTCCAAATTAGATCCTCCTCTTATTCCGGGCTTTCCAAAGAGAGTTGCGAGGGGTCTCATGGTGCCCGGACTCCATGCCACCTCCATCCATCAAACCACGTGTCTAGGTAGCTTTCCAGCGTTTGCTTGAATACTTCCGACACCTTAATTCTTTGTCCCTGGGCAGCGCAGTGTCACTATTCCTAACTGCATTTGTCCTAGAGAATTTTATCAAAGATAATAGATTAGCCAAAACCGGTTTGGCTCAGTGGATAGAGAGTCAGCCTCCCAACTGAAAGGTCCCAGGTTCGATTCCAGTCAAGGGCATGTACCTTGGTGGCGAGCACATCCCCTGTAGGGGGTGTGCAAGAGGCGGCTGATCGATGTTTCTCTCTCATCGATGTTTCTAGCTCTCTATCCCTCTCCCTTCCTCTCTGTAAAAAAGAAAGAAAGAAAGAAAAAAGATAATAGATTAAATTATAAGGGAAAAGGGACCTTTCACTGTGAAATATCTGTAACTTGGAGGGTATTTGCTTAGTGAAGGAGTTCCAGGCTGTTCTGAGGTTGGGGTCCCTTGACCAAAGTCATTCCTGACTTCCCTGCAGGCTCACCTTTTAATCCCCGGCTGATTGGGAAGTGGGCTGGGCGGGAGTTTGTGGCCGAGAAGAGCTGTATTGTTTGAAAGAAGCTACCCTGCTTCCCCTTGCCTATAATTGCTGTGACATGCACATCCTCCCCCAAGACAATCTTCTTCAAAGTTACACTCAGCTGCTCTGATATTAAATTCCATCGCCATAACATATGCCCCAGCTTCCATCCCTCTAACGTTTGGAACTTGGTGTCACGGGCAACAGGCAGAGTCTTTTTACAAACGGGGTCTTACGGACGATTCAACGTCCCCGATCCACGTTGGTTCACATGGAAACCATCTCTCCACCAAGCAGTCAGGACCGTTTTGGAAGGAAACATGAGGAAACAATGACTTTGAAAACAGCTGTCTTTTCTCTTAAAAGAGGAAGGTCATGTGAGGAGAAACTAATGAAGGCCAGGTTACAAAAATCCAAAGACTCAATAGAGATGGCCTCTCATTGGATTCAGGCATAGCAAGGAGAGTAGAAATTTGAAATCATGAGGTTTTTGTTTGTTTCTTTGTTTTTAATGCAGAGGTAACTATCACGTTCGAATATTCTTTTCTGCACAGAGGATTTTTTCCGTAATGCTTGCTGGCATTTAGTTTTTATCTCCAGCTGCTACACTAATCCATGGAATCTATGATGGGTTTTTTTGTTGTTGTTGTGAAAACGGCCACTTTCATTAATGTTTGATTTTTATACACTAGGAGGTTTTATATCTTTGCATTCAATAGAAAAAGAGACATCCTAACTGGCTTGGCTCAGTGGATAGAGCGTCGGCCTGCAGACTGAAGGGTCCCAAGTTCGATTCCAGTCAAGGGCATGTACCTTGGTTGCCAGCACAGCCCCAGTAGGGGGGGAAGTAGGAGGCAGCTGATCAATGGTTCTCTCTCATTGATGTTTCTAGCTCTCTCTCCCTCTCCCTTTCTCTCTGAGAAAAATCAGTAAAATATATTTTAAAAGAAAAAGAGAAAAGGCATGAATATCCATAGTTGACTAGTGGAATCTTGTACCTTTTGCTCTTGACAGTGTTTTTAACTGCCCTGATTTTGGATTGTTTGGTGGAATTTGTGTGTGTGTCTTCTCATGAGCTTAAGAAACTATCTCAATAGCATGCACACCCAAGAACAATTCGCCAAATGACCGGATCAACCGTTTCCCTGGACTTCCCTGAGCCCTCAGTTGCAGCATGAGCGTGCCCACAGGCCAGCCAGCTAGGTCACAGCCTGCTAACTCGGCAGACCGTCCTGAGCATGGGGTGCGAAGCACCGTTCTAACTGCAGGGCGGGCAGGGGAGGAAAGCAGTGATGTTCTGCCTTCAGCAGTCCATACGAAAAAGGGACCTCCTAGGACGGACATTCTTCAAGAGTGTCTTTTAGGCCATCTTGAGGCCCATAGAATTTTAATCTTGAATAAGTCAAGTCACCCCAGCCAGTGTGGCTCAGTGGTTGAGCATTGACCTATCAACTGGGAGATTCCCAGTCAGGGCACATGCCTGGGTTGCAGGCTCCATCCCCAGTAGGGGGCGTGCAGGAGGCAGCTGATCAGTGATTCTCATTATTGATGTTCCTCCCTCCCTCCTCCTTTTCTCTCTGAAATCAATGGCCAGGTTGTTAAGAGCGTCTCTGCCAGAGCATACATCTTCCCCTGAGGGGGTTGAAGCAACATTGGAAACACCAGTCAGCACCCTAAGATGCGATCCATTTCTTAACTTGTCGCTTATTATTAATGACTCTGTGATATCCCGACGCTGTGACTATCACAGTGAATCAAGTTACACTTCGTATGCTCCAACCAACTGGAAGAGCCAAACTTGGACGTTCATCGTCGTATTTTTTTTTTCCACATAACTTTCTGAGCTGTCACATCTCCCTAAGCAGGTTATTTCCGGCGAGAGGTGTGTGGCTGTTGTTTTCACGAGTAAGATTCTTACAAAGGAGCTGGCTTGGCCTTGAGACAAAGTGACCATCAGGATCATTTGCTCAACCTCTGCCCACTCATTGGACGGTTCTGGTCAGTGACCTGGACTTTCGATTCCCACTCTTTAAAGGAGAAAGGATTTGCTGAGTAAATCAATCATCTAAACGAGATTACAAGGAGGCTGCTTGCCTGCCTAAGAAATCAAACCTCCGAAGTTCACACCACGACGTCAGTGCAGTATTTTTGGCAGCAGAATGTGACCCGTAAGATCTCCCTGGTAAAGAATGGTCCCTGTAGGACTGGCTCTCTCTCTCTCAGACTAGGCAGATCTCTACCAGATGTTCAAGGACTAGCTGAGGATAATAGCACAGCGTCTATTTTTAAACAGACGTATCTGTGATCTTCCTTGGATGCTCTTCACTCCCACGAGGGCCGCTGTCCGGCCGCGGGGCTCCCTGGTCTGCAGGAACACTTCCGGTCCCCAGCGCTCCGGCCACTGGCCAGCGGCACTCCACGTGGCCTGGAAGGGCAGGATGAGGAGTGAAGCCACAGGCTTACCCTCCCTCCAGCGACATTTCTTTCCGTGCAGAGATCCGAGAGAAGGCTTTGGGAAACCAGCAAATCTCGGGCGGCATCCTCACTCAGGCTGAAGTTCTCCAGTGTCTGTCCTTTTCTGCAGTCTGATTTTTTCCTTCACCTTCAGTTTTCCGAATAGTGTGTGTGTGATTAGCGGGATATAGATGCTAAACAACCTTGGATCATTGAATAAGATGAAAAGTACCTGAGCCCTAGCTGGTTTGGTTCAGTGCTTTAGAGCGTCGGCCTGTGGACTGAAGGGTCCCAGGGTTGATTCCTGTCAAGGGCACAGGCCTGGGTTGTGGGCTCGATCCCCAGTAGGGGGCGTGCAGGAGGCAGCCGATCAATGATTCTCTCTCATCACATGTTTCCCTCCCTCTCTGAAATCAATACAAGTATATTTTAAAATAAGAAGAAGAACCATGGGCTCTGATTGGCACACAGGGGGACATTTCCAATCATAGTGAATACACAGCCCTTAGCTAGGTATCTACAGGTTATCAGAGAGTGAGCAGAGGTGAGAAAAGCCAACTTTGAGACCAAACGTGCTCCTTCCCCTAAATCTTCTAAATCGGTGGTTCTCAACCTTCCTAATGCCGTGACCCTTTAGTACAGCTCCTCATGCGGTGGTGACCCCCAACCATAACATTATTTTCGTTGCTATTTCATCACTGTAATTCTGCTACTGTTAATGAATCGTAATGTAAATATCTGTGTTTCCCGATGGTCTGAGGCTCTACAGCAGCAGATCTCAACCTGGGGGGTCTTTGGCCCCTTGAGTGTGGCTCCACGTGGCTCTTGAGCCGCGATTTGCTGACCACGGATCTGTGTCATTGGCCCCTTTTCATTAACGAGCCAGTGGATCCCTTAAACAACCTTAGGCAAGAGGTCAGCAATGGCATCCCTGTTTTAGGGATGTGCACACACCGAGGAGCAGAAAAACCAGGAGACACTCATTAGACCACCCGACCACAGGCACTGGCCGGGGAATGACATCCCTGAGACCCAGGCTCAGCTGGGGTTCACACCGCCCGCCTGGGGGGCCGGTCCTGGGCTCTCCGTCCCCCTTAACCACAGGAGGGCGTTTGGAGGTCTGACTCCCCAAGGAAGACCAGGGGAGCCGGGTCTTAAGGGGAAAAACCCGAGTTAGGTCCGCACCTGCGGGCTGCGTGTGGGCGGGGCTGAGCCCACGCCCCCAGCTGAGGCCCCTCTGCGCCTTAACGAGGCTCAGGACCCAGGACCCAGGACCCATTATATGCGGAGGCGGCATTGTTTGTCCTCCAGCAAAGCGTTGTTGGCGCAAAAATAAGACGGAGAGACGCCAGGGTTGGATGAATGCCGAGCGGGAGAGGTTAGCTGTCCAGCTGGAAACCCAGGGAGCCGGTGAGGCTCCGAGGGACCAGGTCGGAGGCGGAGAGTGAGGTAGGAGGTCTGTTAGGCCTGCTTCCTGTCTCGGTGGCATGAGCTTGTGGTGGGGGCCGGCGTCTGCTGGTGCAGGAGCCTGGCTGTTGGTAGCATTGGGGTCCGTGGGGTTGGCCTCTGCTGTGTCCAAGAGGGTGGGGAAGGGTGCCAGGCCGTGGGCGGACACCTGGCAGGCAGGTCTGCCTGGGCACCTGGCTGGGGGGCCAGCGGGTCGGTTCATTTCTTGTTTGGGTTCCCAGCAAGCTCAGAGGCTGGGCCCACGGACGGGGAGAGGGGGCTGCCGTCTACGGACAGCAGTGTGGCCGTCTGAGCCTCTGCAGAGGCTTCCCCGGGCGAGGGGCTGCCCGCAGCAGGCCGGCCCGGCCTCCTGGCCTCCCTGCCCGCTGGCCTTTCTCCCGGGATCCGCTCCGTCCGCCCTGCTCGCTGCCAGGCTGAAGGCCCGGGGCGTCCCCCCTCCCCCCCGGGAGAAAGGCCAGCCTGGACGTGGCTGCCACCGGGGTCGGCAGGAAGTGGGCCGGGTGTAGGGAGAGGATGGGTGGGGGCAGGTGGCGGGAGTAAACAGGAGGTTGTCCGGCGCTGGGAATTCCCGAGAGGAGGGGATATCCTGACATTGACCGGGGAGACGGTCCCCGAGAAGCATCTTTCCAGACGCACACGGAAGGGCGGGCCGAGCGAGGGCTTTGTGCTGTGACCCGACGGCCAGGCCACGCCAGGCCAGGCGGGGCCAGAGGGGAGTTAAGGTCCCGGGAGGCCTGGGAGAGACACAGACTCGGCGCTGCCCTCTCCCGGGGGCCGAGGCTGGGCCCTCTGTGTCTCCGGCTGGGCGGTGGGGTGAATGGCCACTTCCTGCTGGGCTGTCTGGGACACCCTGGGACCCAGAGCCCTGGGGACCTTGCCTAGGAGGGTCAAGGTCATGGTCCATGGGCTGTGCTCCCTGCTCATTCAGGGGCTACACCTGCCCCAAGGATGGGAATATACGCAAGCGGCCTGCCCCAACCGGTTTGGCTGAGTGGATAGAGCAGCGGTCGGCAAACCGAGGCTCCAGAGCCGCATGCAGATCTTCGGCCCCTGGAGGGTGGCTCTTCCACAAAATACCACAGCCTGGGCGCGTCTGTGTTGAAGAAGTGGCTTTCGAAGAAGTTTACGTTTAAAAAATGTGGCTCTCCCAAGAAATGTCGATGGTTGTGCTGTTGATATTTGGCTCTGTTGACTAATGAATTTGCCGACCACCGGATTGGCCTGCGGATGGAAGGGTCCCGGGTTCGATTCCGGTCTAGGGCATGTACCTTGGTTGCGGGCACATCCCCGGTGGGAGGTGTGCAGGAGGCAGCTGATTGATGGATGTTTCTCTCTCATCGATGTTTCTCTCTATCCCTCTCCCTTCCTCTCTGTAAAAAAAAAAAAAAAAAAAAAAAAAATCAGTAAAGTATATTTTTAAAAAACAAAACAGCCAAAAGCAGTTTGGCTCAGTGGATACTGAGAGGTCCCGTGTTCGATTCCAGTCAAGGGCATGTGCCTTTGGTTGCGGGCACATCCCTAGGAGGGGGTGTGCAAGAGGCAGCTGGTCGATGTCTCCCTCTCACCAATGTTTCTAGCTCTCTCTCTCCCTTCCTCTCTGTAAAAAATCAATAAAAATATATTTTAAAAAAAATAAACCAAAAAACAAACAAAAAACCAACAAAATAAACAAGCAGCCTGCTCCAAGGCAGCAGGGGCCTGGAGGGCAGGGCCTGGGCGGACACAGTGGCCACTTGATGGACCCTGTGGGTGAGGGTCGGTGGCAGGGCCAGCTCCTGCCTGCGTCCCTCAGCCCCTCTCTCTGGGCCAGTGAACTCGCCTGCAAATTAACGGCCTCCCCTCCTGCGTCCCCTGGGATGGCGGACCCGCCCCCCAGCAGCCCCCGTGGCCCCCCAATAAACACTCCCTCACCTGTCCCCCCACATCTCTGGGATCTGAGCTGCTGAGGCTTTCAAGAGAAGGTGCTGGCTGAGCAGGGGAACGGGGTCTGGGGCTGGGAAAGGTCCTGGCTCGGACGGGCCTCCTCCTCCTCCTCCTCCTCCTCCTCCTCCTCCTCCTCCTCCTCCAGGAGGTTGGGAGCTGATGCCCATCACGGTGGATCCTGGGTTGTAGGCCCGCTATCACTCTGAGGCCCCAACCCCGTCTCCCCTCCCTAACACAGCCGCCCCAGGGGCCCGGGCCTGTGTGCCCCTCCCAGCTGAGGGGCCGACATCTCGCGGGGTCTCCAATTCCCAGGGCGGCAGCTGCTGCCATCCGTCCCCGCCGGCCTGGCCTGCCCTGCCTCCCAGGGGCCCCGGAAACCACAGGGACAGGGAGGGGGTCCCCCGGGGGCGATGGGAAGCGAGAAACAGCCATGGGCCCTGACCCAGAGCTTCTGGGCTGGCTGCCGAGCTAGAGACTGGGCCTGATTCCTACGAATGTACCCCAGCCTGGGGTGCCCCCTCATTTTGCAGGGGTTGGGCCATCTCACCCCCACATCCCCAGGGTTTTTGGGGGGAGGAGGGAAGAGGGGTTTGACATGAGAAGCAGCTGGGGCCCAGGCCTCACACTCGCTCAGGTTTCTCTCTGTTGTGACGGGGGATTAGCGGGAGGAGAGGAGGAGCAGCTGGGGCCAGCCTAGGCCTTCAAGTCTCTCTCTCCCTGAATCCGGGTGCTTGTGTCTGTCTGGGTGGGGGCCTGGGGAGGACCACGTGTTTGCACACTTGAAGCTCATTCACTGATGCTCACAGCCTCATCCCTTCACGCACCTGGGCGACAATGGAATACTTGCCCGTGGGCCGCTGGGCCCCGAGGTGTCAGCGCTGGGTTTGGGGTGTGGGGAGCCGGGCCAGGGGGGGAGAGGACAGGAGCAGCTTCTTCCAGACTCCGGGGCTGGGAGATGGGAGCCAGAGAGAAGGCGCCGGTGGGGAGCGCCTCGAGGCCTGGCCGGCTGCCCGAAGCTCCGGGTCCTGGGCAGAGCTGGTCAGGTCTCCTTCCACCCCAAGCTTCTCTGTCTGCTTGGCAAGAGCCGCGGAGAAGGGCTCAGAGCGGGCACCCAGGTCAGATCCTGGGCGATGACATTGTCCGGGGGTGGGTGGCTCCTTAGCGTCGGTGCTGGTGCAGGTGCGGCCAGGGTGAGGGACTTGGTCACTCCGGCCTGAGACGGGGCTCAGCTGACCCCACCCTCGTGACCCCATCTACGTGACCTCAGAGTGTGACCACTTCGTTCCTGTAAGAAAATCACACACACACACACACACACCCGCCCCCTCCTCTGATCTCTGAACACACCGTACCCCGGCCCCTCCGTGTATCTGAATCTCCGATGGGCACCGAAAGGATTCCAGACTTTTGCTGGAGATCAGCCACCTCGCTGCCCTGAGCTTTCTGTCAGCCGGTGAAAAGGGGAACACCGATCAGGCGCACGGTTTATAGTATCTTTGATATCAAATAAATGAGGTGCTTAAGAGAAGTACACGGAGTGGCCAGATGATTATGTGTTCAGAGATCGTCATGATCTGGCCACTGTGTGTGTGTGTGTGTGTGTGTGTGTGTGTGTGTATGTATGGGTTCTCTAAAAGCATCCACATAGGTAGGCAGTACCTTTATAAATTTTTTTTTAAATATTTATTATTGATTAAGGTATTACATATGTGTCCTTATCACCCACATTGCTCCCCCACCCCGCCCCCTTGTTGATGCCCTCACCCCCCTGCTGTCTGTGTCCATTGGTTAGGCCACATGTGTCAAACACAAGGCCCGCGGGCCAAATCCGTCCCACCAGGCCTTGCAATGTGGCCCGCACCGCGCTGTCAGCACTGCACTCCGCTGCGTTTCCATCACAATGACAGTTTATGACTGTTCAGTAAACCATTCAGCCCGCGATTTAGGCTGGATTTTAGATTTTGGCCCCTTCTCTGATTGAGTTCGACACCCCTAGGTTAGGCCAAGGGGGCTGGGCTGAGACCCCAGGCAGGCAAGGCGAGGTGGGAAGACAGAACCTCCTCCTCCTCCTCCTCCTCATCCCACCCCGCCCCCCCGCCCCCGGGGCTCTGAGCAAGGCCCCTTCTAGGCCAGAGGACGGGAGAGGGGCTCCCAGCTCGGGGTGAGCCCAGGGAGCCGGGCCGCCCACAGAGGGCCGGAATGTGTGCCCCCCTAGCCCATGTGTGCAGAGAGGCCATTCTGGGGACGCACAGGCGCCGGGTGACAGAGGGCTGCGCTGTGCTCACACCTCATCCCTGCCGGACGGGGATCCCTCCCCTCTGAGCCGGGCCACACCCCGAGGGGCCCAGCTGGACCCCAGGAGGGCCCCCTGGCTTCTGCGCCCAGATCTTCCCAGGGCCCCCCTGCTCGCCGCCGCCGCCTCCTCCTCCTCCGGGAAGCGTGGTCACTGTGTGTGTTTGAAGGAGCAATTGCAGGGTTTGCTCCCGGCTCTGCGACGGGGTGTTTCTCGCCTCAAACACAGCGTGGAGGCTGCTGGGCTGCGGCCGCCGGGGGTGTGGGGGGTGCTGTGACCGGCCCTGACCCTTCTATTTCGGGCCTCAGAGAGGGTGGCGGCCGCCCCGTCAGTGCCCCCGAGCACGGCCATGACGCTCACAGACGGCCTTGTGTGGCCGGAGCCCATGGGTGCCCGTGGCCGTGGGCAGAGGCCCCGGGGTGGCACCGAGGCCTGGTGGGGGGGAGGGGGCAGGGAGGAAGGGGGGTCGGCAGGAAGCTGGGCCGTCGGGTTGCTCAGTAAACGCCCGGCAGGAAGACAGCGGAGGAAATCTGACACGGGAGGGTGGGGGACATGGACAGGGGAGCCAGGGCCGCGTCTGGCCATCCCACCGGACGGGGGTCCCGGGGGGGCTGAACCTGATGCCAGCACAGGACTCACAGGGCCCGGGGGGGGGGGGGGAGCCCCAGGCCCCTCGTGTTCTGACGTCACATTAGGGGGGAAGAGGGGCGAGTGAGAGCAAAAGTGTGGAATTAAAGGCGGCTTCAGCTGAAACCGGTTTAGCTCAGTGGTAGATTATCGGTCTGAGGACTGAAAGGTCCCAGGTTCAATTCCGGTCAAGGGCATGTATCAATAGATTGGTTGCGGGCACATCCCCGGTGGAGGATATGCAAGAAGCAGCTGGCCGATGTTTCTCTCTCATTGACGTTTCTAGCTCTCTATCTCTCTCCCTTCCTCCTCTCTATAAAATATCAATAAAATATATTTAAAAATAAAAAATAAAGGAGGCTTCACTCCCTAACCCCGACCCTGACCCTGACCTTGACCCTGACCCTAACCTGGGCCTTAACCCTCTTGACCCTGACCCTGACTCTGACTCTAACTCTAACCTGGGTCCTAACTCCCTCCCAAAGCCTGACCTTGACCCCAACCCTGACCCCGGACTGCTTTCATTGTGTCCCATAGATTTTTGGATTGTTGTCTTTTTGTTGTCATTAGTTTCCAGAATGCTTTTCATTTCTTCTTTGATCTCGTTGGTAACCCAGTCATTATGTAATAGCATGCTCTTCAGCTTCCAAGTGATTGAGAGATTTTTGGATTGTTTTTATTGTAGTTTACTTCTAATGTTAATGGTGTTGTGGTCTGAGAAGATGCTTGGTGTGATTTGAATCTTCTTGAATTTGGGGAGTCTTTGCTTGTGACCCAATAGGTGGTCTATGTTTGAAAATGTCCCATGTGCACTTGAGAAGAATGTGCATTCGTGGCTTTGGGGTGAAATGTTCTGAAGATGTTCAGTTACATCCATCTGATCTAGTGAGTCGTTTAGGATTGCTGTGTCTTTGCTGATTTTTTGTCTGGAGGACTTATCCAGTGATGTCAGTGATGTATTAAAGTCCCCTGCTATGACTGTATTGTTGTCGATCTCTCCCTCGATATCTTCCAGGAGTTTTGTTATGTATTTGGGTGCTCCTGCGTTGGGTGCATGTATGTTTATCAGGGTCATATCCTCTTGTTGTACTGATCTCTTTAGTATTATGAAGTGTCCTTCCTTATCTCTTATTATGGCATTTACTTTGAGGTCTATTTTGTCAGATATAAGTATTGCTACCCCAGCTTTTTTTTTTTTAATTTTCATTTGCCTGAAAGATATTTTTCCATCCCTTCACTTTCAATCTGTGTGAGTCTCTTGTTATGAGGTGGGTCTCTTGTTATGAGGTGGGTCTCTTGTAGACAGCATATATATATATGCTGTCATTTTTTTTATCCATTCAGCCACTAAATGTCTTTTTATTGGAGCATTTAGTCTGTTTACATTTCAAGTTATTACTGAAAGGTATTTGTTTGTAGTAATATCTACTTTTGTATCTGTGTTCCTTCTTACCTGTTTATTTCTTCTTTTTACACTATTCCTGTTAGCATTTCTTGCATTGCTGGTTTGGTGGTGATAAACTCCCTTAGCCCTTTTTTGTCTGTGAAGCTCCTGATTTCCCCTTCAATTTTGATTGATAAGTCTTTCTGGCTGGATTCAGTCCTTTGCTTTGCATCACTTTGTGTATATCCTTCCATTCCCTTCTAGCTTGATGTGTTTCTGTTGAGAAATCATTTGATAATCTGATGGGTGTTCCTTTGTAGGTAACGCTCTGTCTCTCTCTTGCCGCCTTTAAGATTCTCTCTTTGTCGTTGATATTTGCTGTTGAAATTATGATGTGTCTTGGTGTGGGTCTTTTGGGGTTGAGAAACATCAATGCTGAGAGAGAATCATTGATCAGCTACCTTCTGCACACCCCCTACTGGGGATCGAAACCTGACCAGGAATCGCACCGGGACCCCTCAGTCTACAGGCCAACACTCTACCCACTGAGCCACACCAGCTCGGGCAGGAACCCCCACTCTGTAAGGTGGTGGGGTCTGGGCCTCACTTGTCATGAGGAGAATGTGGTTGTGACGTGGGCAGGGGCTCCCCATCCACGGACAGCACAGAGCCACCTGCTGAGCGAGGGCCCATGTCACTCCTCCAACTTCCTCCTCAGCTTTCACCTCCCGCCCTGGGCTCGAGGCCACACTGTGTCACCTGCTGCCGGGCCTGTGACAGGAGGGACGGAGGAGGAGAGGGTCCCGCCTCCCCCCCCTCCTGCCCCCCCCGCTTCCTGTCCCCCTTTAAGCCTGTGTACACGCTTTCGAATGGCTGTCCTTTTCCTTCCCTGGGGCCTGGCAGGTCTATTTTTGAGGATCTGGGCGGGGACCAGGGCTGGGCGAGGACAGCGCGTCAAACAGTTGAGCTTCCTGCTATGCGTCTCGCCCAGCAGGAAGCAGGTCCTCCTGAGCCTGGGATGGCTGCACAGACCCCATTCCTTGGACACACAGCTCCTCCTCCTCCCTCCCTCCCTCTCTCCCTCCCAGGTGCGGCCATAGCACCGCGAATCAGACCCAGTTCCCAGCACCAGCACACACCGCAGGCTGGCCTGGCCGCTGGCCGGGAGGCCAGGTCACACCCCGATCGTCACGGAGGGTTTATTTTTACAGCCAGGAGCCCTCCTGCCGAGGAAGGGCGTCCACGTTGCCCTGACTCTGCTCAGGGGCCCTCTCCGCTCTCCCAGGTCAGCCATCAACCGCCAGCGTGAGCCTGTCCCACACCGGGGCCTCCGGAGGGGCCGGCGGGCCTGGCCGGGCCGTGGCCTCGGCTCCCACGTCTCATCTCTCTTCACCTCTCCGCTGCCAGGCTGGGGCAGGGCTGGCTCTCCCGCAGCCGCCGGGGGCCCAGGGGTGGAGCAGGGAGGCACTGGGAGCTCTGTCCGGGGAGCAGGGGCTGTGGGGAGGGAGCCAGAGGCACAGCACGGCGCTGAGGCCAGTTCCTCCCAGGCCTCCACGTTCCAGGCCGAGTCCAAGCTCCCGAAATAGAAGCAGACGGAGAGCACACCTCCTGGCTTAGGAGAGCTGCCGTGTGCTGGGTGCTGGGTGCTGGGTGCTGTGTGTGTGCTATGTGCATGCTGTGTGCTGTGTGCTGGGTGTGTGCTGTGTGCTGGGTGTGTGCTGTGTGTGTGCTGTGTGTGCTGTGTGTGTGCTGAGTGTGTGCTGTGTGCTGTGTGTGTGCTGGGTATGTGCTGGGTGTGTGCTGGGTGTGTGCTGTGTGTGTGCTGTGTGTGTGCTGTGTGTGTGCTGTGTGTGTGCTGTGTGTGTGCTGTGTGTGTGCTGTGTGTGCTGTGTGTGCTGTGTGTGCTGTGCGCTGTGTGTGTGCTGTGTGTGTGCTGTGTGCTATGCGTGTGCTGTGTGTGCTAGGTATGTGCTGTGCGTGTGCTGTGCGTGTGCTGTGTGTGTGCTGTGTGCTGTCAGTCTGCTGGGGCTGGGGGTTGGGGGGGCTGGTGGAGAGGAGCCCCCGGAGCAGAGGGGACCAGGAGCCTGGGGCCGGGTGACCTCAGCCACGGAGCGGCTCCCGCCTCCACGGTCACTGCCCTCTTTAGAAAGAGGTCGATTGCTGTGCTCTGGGCCGACGGCAGTGACTGAGCGCGGCCCGGGCGGCGAGGGCGGCGAGGGCGGGGAGGCCCAGTGGCTGGCCGGGGCCCGCAGTTGGCCCGAGCTGGGGTGGGATTGGAACCCGGGCAGACGGCAAAGCCCTCCAGTCTCCCCACTCCTGGAGGTCCCTCGGGCGCCCAGGAACACCCCTAAGGGACCCCACCCCCCACCCCACCACAGCAGCCCCAGCCACACCGTGCCGCTCCGGCCTGGCAGGCCTCCCACCAAAGCCATTTTTTAATTTTTTTCAATATATTTTATTGATTTTTTTACAGAGAGGAAGGGAGAGGGATAGAGAGCTAAAAACATCCATCAGCTGCCTCCTGCACACCCCCTACTGGGGATGTGCCTGCAACCAAGGTCCATGCCCTTGACCGGAATCGAACCTGGGACCCTTCAGTCCGCAGGCCAATGCTCTATCCACTGAGCCACACCGCTTTAGGCCAAAGCCACCTTAGATATGAGCGACACTCGCTGCCACGGGTTCTGTCCTTATTCTTGTTGCTCTGCTCTTGACTTCCTCTCGCCAGACACGATGTCCAAACAGGAAAGCGCAGCCTTCCTGCCTGGAGACCGGCTTCTGAAGGCTCAGGGACCCCCTCTCCCCGCCCCCCCTTTTCCAAAGGTCCCCTTCGGTCCGAGGGGGACTGGGAAGGACGGAAACAGCCCCGGGAGAGGACGGAAGCCGCCAAAGGCCAAGGCCAAGGCCACGGACGCCGCTGCGGCCCCGGAGCTGGGCGCCCTCCGGGCTCCGCTCCTCCCGCCCGCCCGCGGGCAGCCACCCCGGGCTCCGCAGGCGGCACGGGGTGCAGGGGGGCCCCAGGGCGGCTGGAGACTGGCGTCCCAGGGCTCTGCAGGCACCTGTGCCCGACAGCCCCCGCTGGGCACAGGGTGGGCACAGGGGCTGCCTGTGGGTGAGGCCTCGGGCCTGGAGCCTGCGTCCCGGCGCTCAGGGGAGGCCAAGGTCCCTCCCCGTCACCCCCAGACCACGCAGCCCTGGTTTATTTCATGTTCCTGCTCCCTCAGCCAGCCACCGCCCCATGAGCGTGCCCCCGGGAGATCCAGAGAGCAGAGCGAACAGGTCCTTGTCCCAAGGGGGCTGCAGCGTGGGGTCCAGGGTCACACGGACACACCGTTAAGCGACACGCAGGCCAGCACACGGGGGTGGCGGGGGGGGGGTGCAGGAGAGCGGGACCAACACGTCCTGGGGCCTGAGGTGCCACTGGCCGGCGAACCCAGCCCCACGTGGCCACCTGGTACCCCCAAAAGGCAGGGTCTGGCTCTGGTTCAAGGACCCTGGTTCTGGGGCTCTGGGGAAGGGGGTTCCCATGAGCACCCCTGGACCACTCACTGCATATCCAGGAGCTTCCTGTCTCCCCATGGGGGAGGGGGAGTAAGGGGGGGAGGGATTGGGGGAGCTGGGACGCCTGGGAGAGGCGAGGTCATGGCTGTAGCTGCTCCGAGGTGGCACACACACAGCCCCGCCCCCCCCGGACGCCCCCTCCCGCTCTTGCGCGGGGTCCCTCCAGGGAGGGCCCCCAGGATGCAAATATTGGGGTACAGCGGTGAGGCAGGAGGGAAGAGGGGCAGTGTTTGTGAGGCCTGGGGCTCCGTCCACCCAGCCAGTCCCTGGCCTTACCCCGACTCCTGCCCCCAGGGACCCCCTCCCGGTGGTTTGGGTGTTTCTACTTTATTGCGATGGGGTGACAGCTGCAATGGGGGGGTCCTGTCCCGAGGCCCTGTCTGCAAGGGCTGGGGTGCTGGTGGGGCTCCTGGGGCAGGAGCAGCGGGGAGGGCGGGCCCCCGGGCCCCGGGGCAGCAGGAGGGCAGGCTGATTGGGGGGGCAGGGGGTACCAGGGTACATCCCACGGCCCGGCTCTCAGCCCCCTGCCGCTTCCCAGGTCCGCGGGAGGGACACCTGGACGCCTGATGGGGACTGGAAGCTCCGAAGGTAGGGGAACCGCAGACTGAGGACGGCCCCGGGGCTGTGGTCCTGCAGCGCCACCTGGGGGCGAACGGGAGGAAGGCAACAGGAGGGGGAGCCAGAGGACCGGCCAGCTCCCCTGGTGGGGGGGCCTCTGGGGAGGGGGAGGGGTCCTCAGGAGAGGGATGGGGGAGGGGTCCTCCAGGGTACGTGCCCCAGAGGGAATGCCCCAGGTCCTCGGGGGACGCCGGGCGTCTGCTTTCCGTTCCCATCAGTAGATGGGGGGCGGGGGGGGGAGAAACTGCCCCGAAAGCCTGGGCTCCCGTGGGGGTCGCCTTGCTGGGGAACCCCGTGACCGGAGACACCCACTCCCCACCACCCCACTTGTCAGAATACTTGTTCTTTTTTATTTTAATTTGATTTTTTTTTTTAACAGAGGAAGGGAGAGAGAGAGCTAGAAACATCGATGAGAGAGAGAGACATCAATCAGCTGCCTCCTGCACACCTCCCACTGGGGATATGCCCACAACCAAGGCACATGCATGCCCTTGACTGGAATCGAACCTGGGACCCTTCAGTCCGCAGGCAGATGTTCTATCCACTGAGCCAAACTGGTTAGGGCCAAATGCTATTTTTTAATAGGCCTGATCTAAACATAGGCAAAACATATATATAAAATATATTTTATTGACTTTTTACAGAGAGGGAGAGGGATAGAGTTAGAAACATCGACGAGAAACTCCATCAGCTACCTCCTGCACACCCCCTACTGGGGATGTGCCCGCAACCAAGGTACATGCCCTTGCCCGGAATCGAACCCGGGACCTTTCAGTCTGCAGGCCGACGCTCTATCCACTGAGCCACACCGGTCAGGGCAGAACACTTGTTCTCTTAGGAGGCCACACTTATTCCAAGACCCTTCGAATGTTCAAATCGGGGAGGCTGTGGAGTCCACGTTGTCTGGGTGAGGGAGGAATGAGCTCAGAGATAAGCGCAGTCCTCCCGAGAGCCTTCGCTTCCGCTGCATTTCCAGCTGGGACCCCGGCCAGGCCCCTCCAGGGAGCAGGTGAGCCAACAGGAGTGTGACGTCTCACAGTCCGGAGGCTGGACGTCCCAGGTCAGGGTGCTGGCAGGGCACATGGCCCCACAGCAGGCTCGATCCCCAGGTGGGGGCGTGCAGGAGGCAGCTGATGGGTGTTTCTCTCTAAAAAACAAAAACATATTTTAAAAAATATATCAGGAAGAGGCAAGCTAGAGGCTGTGAGACAATGAGTATTACATGTGTCTGATAAAGACTTCTCCCTAGAGCAGAGGTTGGCAAACCATGGCTCATGAGCCACATGCGGCTCTTTGGCCCCATTTAAAAAAAAATATATACGTATTTTATTGTGTTTTTTGTTTTCGTTTTTGTTTGTTTTTTACAGAGAGGAAGGGAGAGGAATAGAGAGAAACATTGATCAGCTGCCTCCTGCACACTCCCCACTGGGGATGTGCCCACAACCAAGGTACATGCCCCTGACCGGAATCGAACCTGGGACCTTTCAGTGTGCAGGCCGATGCTCTATCTACTGAGCCACACCGGTTCCAGCCATCTTTGGCCCCTTGAGTGTGGCTCTTCCACAAAATACCACGGCCTGGGCGAGTCTATGTTGAAGAAGTGGCGTAAGAAGTTTCAATTTAAAAAATGTGGCTCTCCAAAGAAATTTCAGTCGTTGTCCTGTTGATATTTGGCTCTGTGGACTAGTGAGTTTGCCGACCACTGACCTAGACTATATAAAACATGCCTACCCGTTACTGATAAAAAGATAACCCACTTAACACATTGAGGGCGGATCACAAGCATTCTCGTGTTTTCATATTACACGGTGTGTACAACGACTGAAATTTCTTTCGAGAGCCACATTTTTTTAGCTTAAACTATATAGATAGGTACATTGTGATTAACTTAATTAGGGTCCTCCCAAGCTGACCTTTGCTAAACACTCAAGGGGCCAAAGAGCCGCAGGTGGCTCTTGAGCCGCGGTTTGCCGACCGCTGGTCTAGATTTTCCAGAATCGTCTCCGTTTCAAACACAGCCAGCAATGGCCACTTGTGGGCCGGACTGCGGTGGTTCCCTCCTATTTAGGGTGACGCCGAAGGACCCGCTCCCGGGGGTTTATCCACTCACCGACGTGGAACTGTTGGCACGTGGAGTTCGGGAGCCGTTGCTTAGCAACGAGCATCTCCGCTGGCCAGCGGGTACCCGCGTCTCCACACGGCTCTGCTAACCTTCGCTGCTGCCCTGTGTGCAGCGACTCCGGTGAAGGGGGACTTGGAAAGCGGCCTCAGAAAACATCACAACCGCTGGGGGGGAAGGGGGGACCTGGAAGGGAGGGTCTTTCCTGGGGGTGGAGGAGGGGTCTTCTGGGGGGCCACACAGGCCCCTGCTCTGCAAGGAGGCGGGAAGGGGTGCTGGTTTTAAGAGGACAGCTGGGCCGGGACCGGTTTGGCTCAGTGGATAGAGCGTCGGCCTACGGACTGAAAGGTCCCAGGTTCGATTCCTGGCAAGGGGATTTACCTTGGTTGTGGGTATAACCCCAGTAGGGGGGGGCGTGCAAGGGGCAGCTGATCGATGATTCTCTCTCATCAATGTTTCTAACTCTCTATCCCTCTCTCTTCCTCTCTGTAAAAAATCAATAAAATATATAAAATAAAATAAAATTAAAAAAAACAAAAAAAAAAAAACCAGCTGGTGTGCTAAGAGTTTGCCCAGAAGGAAGAGAGAGAGGCCTTTGGGTTGGAAACACTCCATGAGACACCCCAGGAGGGCTGGGTTTGGAATAGCAGGTAGGATGGATGTGCAGAAATGGGAGAACACTCCAGAAGGAAGGGTAGAGTCGTAGGATAGGGGGTGCGTGTGCTGCCGTGATGAACAGTGCTAATGGGCACAGTCATTGTTCAAATGTGAGAACAGTCAGCACAGGGCAAGCTCAGCTTCCTGGATCAGAGAGACCAGGAATAGAACAGCTAGTCCACGTGTGTGTGTGTGTGTGTGTGTGTGTGTGTGTGTGTGTGAGTGTGTGTGTGTGTGTGTGTGTGTGTGTGTGTGTGTGTGAGTGTGTGTGTGTGTGTGAGTGTGTGTGTGAGTGTCTGTGTGTGTGTGGGTGTGTGTGTGAGAGTGTGTGTGAGTGTGTGTGTGTGTGTGTGTGTGTGTGTGACTGTGTGTGTGAGAGTGTGTGGAGGGGTTAGGATTCGGGGCGCACAGTGAGGACCGGGAGCGAGGTTCTGGATGCTGAGTCCCAGGCCTGTGTGCAGCAGCTGACCTGGGGCCCCGCTGGACCAGGAAGCCACGGGTAATTTGGCTAGCCTTCCTTGCTTTCGCTTTTTCTTGATACCTCCAAAAAAAAAAAAAAAAATTTCTAGATGAAACAAACATGAAAAGTTAAACTTGTATAATTAAAAAAAAAAATCTTCAAAGATATTCTGATCCCATCTAAGAGGCCCTCCGTGTTTGCACCCCCTTGTTTTGGCCCCGGGGGCAACTAAGGTCAAAATCTGAGAAGCCCGTTCCTCCTCGGCCTACTGAATGTCCTGGCAACTCTAGGAGGTAGGCACGGTCATGTGACAGGTGAGAAACCGAGGCCTGTCAAGGGCGTGTCACATGCTCAAGGTCCCAGAGCTCATGTGTAGCAGCACCAGAACTCAAGCCTGCCAAAAACCGGTGTGGCTCAGTGGATAGAGCGTCGGCCTGCGGACTGAAGGGTCCCGGGTTCGATTCCGGTCAAGGGCATGGACCTTGGTTGCAGGCACATTCCCGGTGCGGGGTGTGCAGGAGGCAGCTGAATCGATGTTTCTCTCTCATCGATGTTTCTAACTCTCTATCCCTCTCTCTTCCTCTCTATAAAAACAAAACAACAAAAAACTCAAGCCAGCATCTGTGACCACCAAGGCCAAGTTCCTCTGCCAGAGCCTGATTGGTCGGTACATCCCATGGCACACCGAGTTCAGATGGGCCGGCGCTAACTCCCGGAACAACGGTTACCTGCCGACAGGACGTTCCTGGGGGGCCCGCGTTCTGCCCGGAGGAGCGGAAGGTAAGAAGATCAGGAAGAATGCTGTGGCCACAAGACGGCTGGTTCTTGTCATCCGGCGTCTTCGGGGCCATTCTCCTCCCGGAGACCGAGGGTGCCCTTGACCCGGCGAGGGCCCGGCTCCCACGGTGCAGGCGGGAAGCGGCCTGTCTCTGCTTCTCTTCCGCTGGCGCTGTCCCCGCAGAGCGCAGAGGGCTCCGAATGCGGGGCCGGCGCCTCCTGGGACGGGACGCTGCTGGAGGGGAGTGTCCGTCTGCTGTATCTTCCCAAGGCGGCCACCCACCACCACCGGGAACACCTTGTGGTTGACGCCAGAGAAGAGAAGGGCATTATTGAGTCCGACAGGAAATGGGTGGAGTGTGGGGGGCAGCTGCCATCTCTTAGATCTCTTCCTTCCCATGTGCAGGTCAATTGAGAGCTTTGTGTGTGCGTGTGTGTGTGTGTGTGTGTGTGTTTTCAGAATTGGGTGAAAAGGAACCTCAAGAAGGACCGCCCCCCCAAGGAGACTCAGCGCAAGTACAAGGTGAAGTGCTATCGGCGAGGCCCATCGACGGCCAGCTCCTTGACTAGGAGACGGTGGTGATCGTCTGCAGCGGGATGTCCCCGTTGTCCTCCTCCTCCTCCTTCTTCTTCTCCTCCTCCCTCTTCAGGATGAGCCGGGAGAGCTTGTGAAGGAACCAGCCGACGTCCTGCGGGTCCTCGGGCCACCGCAGGTAGGGCTGCCTCTGCAGGAACGCGCGGACGGCCCGGTGCCTCCGGAGCTGGAACTGGGACAGCGCGCCCACCACCACCACGATGAGGGCGCCGGGGCCGCCCCGGAGGTCGGCCAGGCAGCGGCTCCGGGCGCAGCCGAAGGCCTCCAGGCACCAGCCGTCCCGCAGGAAGTGCCGGCTCACCACGCACACCACCCTCCTGCTGCTCCACACGGCCGCCTGGATGTTGGCCAGGACGCTCTCGCCCGGCGCGAAGTCCCTCTCCTCGAAGCACAGGCGCAGCGGGTTGCGGGCGCTGTACTGGGCGTCCAGGCGGGCCAGCAGGGCGCCCTGCACCCACTCGAAGTCCTTGCCGCTGAAGCACAGGTAGGCATCGTACTTGTAATGGTCGGGCTCCCCGGCCCGGGCTCGGTCCCCCAGCAGACGGCTCCGGACCGCCTGGTAGCAGAGGAAGCAGGACCCCCGGAGCTTGGCCACCGCCAGGATGGCCGCGAGGAACAGGGCCACGGCGACGGTGGACAGGACGAAGAGGGAGAACCGGAGGGCGGCCAGCCTCTCCTCCTCGTCGCAGCCCTCCGTGGACAGCGAGGACAGGGGCGCCCCCGCCAGGGGGCCCGGGTACGAGCAGGACACGTCTTCGGGCGCCCCGAGGAGGGTGACGTTGGTCCGGTTGAGCCACACCACGAAGGGGCCGAGGTCGCACTCGCAGATGAACTTGTTGTGGGTGACGTCCAGGAAGCGCAGGGACGCGAAGGCGGCGGGGTCCGGGGAGAGGAGCTGGTTCCAGGACACGTCCAGCACCTCGAGGCCGGGCGGGAGGTCGCCGGGGGCGAGGGCGGCCAGCAGGTTGCCGTTGAGGCTGAGCAACCTTAAGGGAAGGCGACCAGATGTTAACATCGGTAAAGCGGGACACGCCAGTGATTAAAATTTTGGTCTAGCCGAAACCGGTTTGGCTCACTGGATAGAGCGTCGGCTTGGGGACTGAAGGGTCCCGGGTTCGATTCCGGTCAAGGGCATGTACCTTGGTTGTGGGCATATCCCCAGTAGGGGGTGTGCAAGAGGCAACTGATCAATGACTCTCTCTCATCGATGTTTCTAACTATCTCCCTTCCTCTTTGTACAAAATCAATAAAATATGTATTTAAAGAAAAATTTTGGTCTATATGGAGCAACAAAAATGTTCATAGAACGCAAAGATAGTATTGTAAAATATATATATATATATATATTTTTAATTTCAACATAAGTACAATTTACAAATATAATAAATAAATAAAAATGATGTATAGTCGTTAAGTGTCACTTTCAAGGCCGGGGTGCTAGACTTTTTGCCGCCACTATAAAATAGAAATAATACGAGTACTGTCTGCTAAAAATTCAAGACAATTTATGTATTTATGAAATAATTTAGGTAATTTATTTATCTGAATAGCTGAATAGCTGATTTGTAATGACATCACTTGTTTAACAAGCTTACTAGCACACAGTACGATATGTATCGTCTGAGAGACAGTTACACAACGTTTTCGTCGTTGCCAATCCCAAAAAATGAAGTCCAAACAATGGTGGTCGAATGCTAAAAACCGATCGACCATGTGAACTTGGATAAACAGTTCTCGATAATCGGTTCCCAACCATTATTTGTTGTTACTAAAGTTTAACATTATAAAATGAACAAAAATAATATGAAACTCCTATCCTGGCTACGTAGCCACATGGCTGCCGAAAACCATCTATTCCCTTCCCGTTCTCCCGCCGTTCCCTCGCTTGTCATGCATTCTTTCCAAAAATGGGGACTTTTTTTTTTTTTTTATGATTTTTTTACAGAGAGGAAGAGAGAGGGATAGAAAGCTAGAAACATGGATGAGAAAGAATCATCCATCAGCTGCCTCTTGCACACCCCCGACTGGGGATGTGCCCGCAACCACGGTACATGCCTTTGACCGGGATCGAACCCGGGACCTTTCAGTCCGCAGGCCGACGCTCTTGTCCACTGAGCCAAACCGGTTTCGGCAAATCAGGACGTGGGACGAATTGTTAGAAAAAGGGACTGTCCCGACAAAAGAAGGACATCTGGAGTCACCTTACCTTAGGGCGACCAGATGGCCGAACACTCCGGGCGGGAGGAAGGTCAGGTAGTTGTTGTTCAGGAAGAGGCGCTGCAGGTGGGCCAGCCCCTGGAAGACGTCCCAGCAGGACCCCGTCTCCCAGGCCAGCTGCAGCATGTTCTCCCCGAGGAAGAGCTGCTCCAGGCTGGGGCTCCCCACAGGCCTGGGGGCGGCGGGGGCGGCGCACAGGGACAGGCGGTTCTGGTTGAGGATGAGGACCTGGAGCTGGGGGATCTGGAACAGGGCGTAGAGCTCGTCCACCCGCTCCAGCCGGTTCCCCGACAGCTGCACGAAGCTGGCCTCGAACCCGGCGCTGGGCAGCGTCGCCAGCTTGTTGCCCCCCAGGTAGAGGGTGGGGATGCTCGGGACGAAGCCGACCGTCTTCAGGGCGTTGTCCCGGAGGTCCAGGGTCTGCAGGCTCCGCAGGGACCGGAACGTCCCGTCCTGGACCGCCCCGATGTGGTTCCTCTGCAGATCGATGTAGGCCACGCCGGGCAGGCCGTCGAAGCTGGGGTTGTACAGCTCCCCCAGGAGGTTGAAGGACAGGTTGAGGACCTGGAGGCTGTCCAGCCCGTAGAAGGCCTGGCGGGCGATCGTGTTGACCTTGTTGTGGGCCAGGTTCAGGAGCCTGAGCTCCCCGAGGCCCTCGAAGAGCCGGGAGCCCAGGGCGAAGATGGAGCCGTGCGCGAGGTCCAGGCGTCGCAGCGAGCTGCGGGCCAGGCCGGCGAAGGTGCTCCGGTCGGGGTCCTTGATGTTTTGGAAGCCGAACCCGGGACCCATGACGTGCCAGGCGAGGAGCAGAGAGGCGATCGGGGTCCCGTTGACGGCGCCGGTGAAGTTCCGTACGAGGTCCACGCCCCAGCCATTCTGGGACACGTCGAGGGTGCCCAGGACCATGTCCCTGAGCGGGTTCCTGCACGCGGCCCAGTCCACGGGGACCCGGTAGTACAGGTTGGTGGCAGCGAGGCCCAGAAAGGACAGCTCCTTCCCTCGCAGGGGCCGGAGGTCCCACTCGCACACGACGGGGACATCGTTGAGGGAGAAGTCGATGGACGTCAGGGCGTCCAGCTCCCGGAAGGAAGCGGGGAGGGAGAGGCTGTGGATCTGGTTCTTGGACAGGTCCAGGCGGCTCAGCGACGGCAGGTTTCTGAAGTGACCGTCCCTGAGCACGGCCTCGGAGAGCCCGCAGTAGAAGAGCCGGAGCTCAAACAGACGGGGCAGCCCCTGGAAGGCGTCCGGGTGCAGCGAGTCTAGCCTGCTGTGGCCCAAGTCCAAGACCCGGAGGTTGGGCAGGTTCCGGAAGGCCGCCCGGCCCACGGTGAAGGCGGTGAGCTGCGTCCCCAGCTCCAGCAGCTCCAGCCGCTCCAGGACGGGGAAGGACGTGGCCGTGACGGCCCGGATGTAGTTGAAGCTCAGCAGGAGGCGCTCCGTGGAGTTGGGGACCGGGGGCACCCGGGTGAGGTTGCAGGAACGGTACAGGGCGATGCGGCCGTCCGAGGAGCAGGGAGAGATGCCGAGCGCCGGGCTGGCCAGCAGCACCGCTCCCAAGAGAAGGTCAAGGTGATTTCCCATGATCCTAGGGAGAAGAAAGGAGAATGGGGAGAACATCATACCTCTCTAAGCTCCAGGCATGGCACATGGGACTTTTTTATTTTTTTAAATATATATTTTATTGATTTTTTTTTTTTTACAGAGAGGAAGGGAGAGGGATAGAGAGTTAGGAACATCGATGACAGAGAATCATCCATCAGCTGCCTCCTGCACACCCCCCCACTGGGGATGTGCCCGCAACCAAGGCACATGCCCTTGGCCGGAATCGAACCTGGGACCTGTCAGTCCGCAGGCCGACGCTCTATCCACTGAGCCACACCAGTTTCGGCGGCACATGGGTCTTTAGAATTTGTGCTCCTAATACCATATGCCTGCTGCTCTCTTAGCCCAGTGGTCAGCACTCATTAGTCAGCAGAGCCAAACATCAACAGCACAACGATTGAAATTTCTTTGGAGAGCCACATGTTTTTAAACTTACATTTAAAAATGATGAACTTAGCCGAGACTGGTTTGGCTCAATGGATAGAGCGTCGGCTTGGGGACTGAAAGGTCCCGGGTTCGATTCCGGTCAAGGGCATGTACCTTGGTTGTGGGCACGTACCTTGGTTGCGGGCACATCCCCAGTAGGGGGTGTGCAAGAGGCAGCTGGTCGATGACACTCTCTCTCATCGATGTTTCTAGCTCTCTATCTCTCTCCCTTCCTCTCTGTACAAAATCAATAAAATATATTTTAAAAAAATAAAAATAAAAATAAAAATAAAAATAAAAATGATGAACTTAATTAGGGTCCTCCTAAGCTGGCCTTTTGCTAAACACTCAAGGGGCCAAAGAGCCGTTTGCTGGCCGCTTTGACCCGCTGGCCGCTGGCTCCCTGCGGTGGACGGTATGTTCTGGTGCAGACAGCGCTGTTCCCGCCGTCTTCCTATCTCTTGTTTTCCGTTTCCCACACCCCGAGGCGGGCTCCCTGCTTTGAGGTCATGGATCCCCGAGAGGGGCCGAAGATAGCTCTGACCGCTCGCCTCCCAAACAGGCACTTTTGCACCAGCAACCAAGTTTTGTACCCAATGTCAGAGGGTTCACTGACCTCCTGGAGCCCGCCCCTTCCACCCTCAGTGGTCGGCAAACCGCGGCTCGAGAGCCACATGTGCGGCTCTTTGGCCCCTTAGTGTTTAGCAAAGGCCAGCTCAGGAGCCCCCTAATTCAGTTAATCACAATGTACCTACCTAGATGGTGTAAGAAATTTGGCACCTTGCCGAGACTGGTGTGGTTCAGCGGATAGAGCACCAGCCTGCAGACTGAAAGGTCCCAGGTTCGATTCTGGTCGAGGGCATGTACCTTGGTTGCAGGCACATCCCCAGTAGGGGTGGTGCAAGAGGCAGCTGGTCGATGACTCATCGATGTTTCTAACTCTCTATCCCTCTCTCTTCCTCTCTGTAAAAAGTCAATAAAATATATTTTTTTTTAAAAGAAAAAAGGAAAGAAATTTGGCACCTCTGCTCTCGGGCACCACGGTGGTGAGCCTGCCCGTCCCCCTGGCGGGAGCCAGGGCTGCTCCTGTGCCAACTCAACGCTTGGTCCTTAACCCCGAACGCCAGGCCTGGGCCCCTGGGAGGACCCGGCCTTGGGAGCTGTAGAGGATGGCTGCCTCTGGGCGGTGGTGGCCAATGTCGGCAGGCTGACCCGCCTCCCTGGCTGTGCCCTTGGCCTTGCCCTGGGCACCAGGAAGAGCTTGCTTTCCCGGAAGCTGGCATCCATCCCATTTCTCGGCGTCGGCTGGTCCCTGGGCTTCAGTGCCTCTATCTGTCTCATCTGCTCTCCGAGGCCGGCTGACCTTCCAGCGGCCAGCTCCTCCATGGAGTAGTTCTCAGGCCCACAGGCACACCCGTCTCCCTCCCCCGACGTTCTGTTTACGGCCCCAGGAGAGCGTTTTCACCGTATTAGGCCCCACCCCCTGCCTCCCACGGTACATTTCTTGAGGACAAGGGGCCTGAAGGTCGCACAACTTAATCACCCCACTCCTATGTTCCCCATTAGTAGTGTTTGTGATCATTTTATTTATCTTTTAAGTTGTATTGATTTCAGAGAGGGGGAGAGAGAGAAACATCAATGATGGCCCTGACCAGTTTGGCTCAGTGGATGGAGCGTCGGACTACGGACTGGAGGGTCCCGGGTTCGATTTCGGTCAAGGGCATGTACCTTGGTTGTGGGCATATCCCCAGTGGGGGCCGTGCAGGAGGCAGCTGACCGATGTTTCTCTCTCATCGATGTTTCTAACTCTCTATCCCTCTCCTTCCTCTCTGTAAAAAAAAATAAATAAATAAAATCAATAAAATATATTTTTTAAAAAGGGGTGGGGGTTTGGAATTGGAATGGGGGATTGAGGACAAATAAGTGATACCTTAATAAAGAAATTAATTTAAAAAAATAAATAAAAAACCCAATTGTTTATTCAAACTTAAAAAAAAAAACTTGATAAAAATTATCTATGAAAATGTTAAATGCAAATGTCCTATGATTAGCAATGTCCTACTTCTAGGAATTTATTGTACAGATGTCCTTACACATGTATGAAATGTTACCTATATAAAAAATTTTAAATCCTAAAAAAAAAAAAAAAAAATGTCAATGATGAAAGTCATCGATTGGCTGCCTCCTGCACACCCCACAGTGGGGATTAAGCCCATAACCCAGGCCTGTGCCCTGACCGGGAATCGAACCGTGACCTCCTGGCTCATTGGTGGATGTTCAACCACGGAGCCACGCCGGGCGTTCAGATTTCATTTTTAACCACAGTGGACAAACATTAGCTTCAGGTGTGCAACATGGCGACTCAACATTTGCTTACCTTACCTGCTGGTCACCACAATCAGCCGCGTAGCCATCTGTCACGGTGCAATAAAGTTATTATAACTTTATTGACTGCATTCTCTCTTTTTTTTTTAATATATTTTATTGATTTCTTACAGAGAGGAAGGGAGAGGGATAGAGAGTTAGGAACATGGATGAGAGAGAATCATCAATCAGCTGCCTCTTGCACACCCCCTACCGGGGATGTGCCCGCAACCAAGGTACATGCCCTTGACCGGAATCGAACCCGGGACCTTTCAGTCCGCAGACTGACGCTCTATCCGCTGAGCCAAACCGGTTTCGGCTTGACTGCATTCTCTCTGCTGCACCTGACTTATTGTATGACGGGGAGCAGAGCTGCTCTCCCCCGGATGCCGTGAAGAAGATGTATTTTCGTCCTTACCTCCCGGCGCTCACACAAGCCGCCGCGGACAGGGGCTCCTTCCCCCTCGGCCCCGGTGGTGTCAGGACTCCTGGTCCCGAGACGACAGAGCCCCACGCAGGGACGGTGGCGGCCAGTGTTTTCCCTGAACCAGGAAACGGGCATTCGGCTGCCTAAGGAGAAACAGGAAATCCAATTAAGAGGATGAAACAGAAAATAGCACGTGTTTTCCTTAGCGCCCAGCAGTTCTCTCTGCAGGAGGATTTAAAAACTTAGGTGTGTCTCTTACCGAGCGGAATTTTAAAAAAAATACATTTCTTTATTGATTTCAGAGAGGAAGGGAGAAGGAGAGAGAGATAGAAACAGCCATGATGAGAGAGAACCATGGATCGGCTGCCTCCTGCATGCCCCCTACTGGGGATTGAGCCCGCAACCCAGGCCTGTGCCCTTGACCGGAATCGAACCTGGGACTCCCCAGGCTGATGCTCTATCCACTGAGCCAAACCAGCTAGGGCTATTGAGTGGAATTCTAATGGGCAAAGATGAAGGTCATTTTGCAAGGCAGAGCCTGTGGCACTTCTGAGCTGAGGGGGTGCCAGGCCCAGCTCTGCTTCAAAAGGTGGGCATCTACGCCAGCAAATCAAAAGGGCAGCTTTCTCCCCTGTCACCTCAAGGTGGACAATTTGCATATTAACCTTTTATTATGTAGGATATACACTGAATAATCGGATTATTGTGTGTTCAGAGATTATCATCATCTGGCCACTCAGTGTAAGGCTCCACTGTGTCTTGCTCGCTTAACACATTGTGGGCCGGTAGTTGTATTGCTAACTTTACCCAGTGGCCAGGTAAGTTTCTATTGAACGAGGACAAAAAACATTTTCCATGAATGCCAAAGGCACGCTTTACCATGAAATAACCACTGCGTTTTGAAGTTGCGTACCACATGTTCTTACAAGCTAGTTATCTTATTTAAAGAATTCCCATGATGGGCCACGAGCTTTAGAACAGGAAACACTAGAATTCTCGAGATCCATCCAGGTGTTCAGTACACAGACACCGTCTAGGGCCTAAGGATTCGAGGCCGGTGGCTCTCAACCTTTCTAATGCTACTTCCTAACTGTAATTTTGGTCTTAGGCTCCACAGCAGTGGTTCTCAACCTGTGGGTCAAGACAGGGTGATAACTGCTAGCAGGGTCGCCTAAGACCATCAGAAAACACAGATAATTTACATTACGATTCATTCACAGTAGCAAAATTACAGTTATGAAGTAGCCACGAAAATAATGTGATGGTTGGGGGTCACCATGACATGAGGAGGTTGGGGGTCACCATGACATGAGGAGCTGTATGCACGGGCCGTTATATTTGAAGGTTGAGAACCACTGGGTTCTAGGCAATGGCACCTCACCAGGAATGTATTCCTTCTAGAAACCACTGAAGGGGAACCAGGAGGGGTGGAGCTGGTGCTCCTCTGTTCCGCACGCCTGGGACGTTCTGTGCAAGCAGCCCCGATGGTCCCCAGCACCTGCAGGAGGGGTCCCCCAGAACCACGAGCACCAAGCACAGCAGCCAGAGGCACTGATGTTGTCCTAGACAGGATGCTGAAAACCCAAATGCACGCTTCATACAAAACCCAAAGGCACCTGATGCAAAGGAAGAATCCCTTCCGGGCGAGGATTGAACGCACACAACCAGCACGCCACATTCCAAATCCTTGGGGCCCGGCTGGTGTGGCTCAGGGGTTCAGCAGCGACCTAGGAACCAGGAGGTCACGGTTCGATTCCCCGTCAAGGCACAGGCCTGGGTGGCGGGCTTGCTCCCCAGTGGGGAGCATGCAGGAGGCAGCCAATCGATAATTCTCATCATTGATGTTTCTATCTCTCTCCCCATTTCTGTACCTCTCTGGAATCAATAAAAAGATATTTGAGCCAAAACTGGTTTAGCTCAATGGATAGAGCGTCGGCTTGGGGACTGAGGGGTCCCGGGTTCGATTCCGGTCAAGGGCATGTACTTTGGTTGCGGGCATATCCCCAGTAGAGGGTATACAAGAGGCAGCTGATTGATGACTCTCATCGATGTTTCTATCTCTCTCCCTTCCTCTCTGTACAAAATCAATAAAATATATTAAAATTTACATTACGATGTAAATAAATATATATATATTTGGGGGGAAATTTTTTTTAATCTCTGGTGAGAAATAGCTCACCAATGAATTGCACATCTAGACCGTGTTCAGGTCCAGGCACTCGTAGCAGCTCTGCTAGGCTTCCCGAATGCAGCTCGGCCAACGCTGGTGTTTGGACGGGCACAGCATAGTGCCGGGAAAGATGGGCAGCTGCAAGGTCCGAGCCAGAGCAGCCGGGAGCCGGGGGTCTCAGAATACATCCCTAAAAGTGCCCCAGGGACAGGGTGCTCAGAGCAGCAGGAATCATCTGGATGGTGGTGCAAAGTGGGAGCAGGTGGGTGGGTGGAGGCGGGGGGGGGGGGTTGGGGGGCGGGGGGGGGTTGGGGGGCGGACGGGGAAAAGAAACCTTACTAAACTGTGATCCGCCAGAGAGGATGGAAATGGGAGCAGAGATTAGAAAACACTTGAGGACCTTCCTGGCAGGAATCTGGAGTCTGCAGGCACCAAGAGGAACCTGCTTGGGGGGGGGGGGGGGGGGGGGGGAGGGGGAATCAAATCCAGCCAGCTGTGCAGCTGTGGAGACACCCGCTGGTGGGGGTAGAGGAGGGAGGGAGGGAGGGAGAGAGGGCGGGCGGGCCAGCAGGAGTGGCCCAGGGTCTCCATGCCCCGCTGGGTGCAGGGGTGGAAAGACGATTCCATGGGCTGCACCCAGGGACCGGGCGCAGGGCCAGGCCGGGCTGGGGGCCCCACCCCTGCTGGCAGCCCCGGTCCTGCTCCGTGCCCAGGTTCCGTGCCCGCAGGGAGGCTTATGGAGTGTGGGACCCGCCCTGGGCAGGCTGCCGGGAGGCTGAGCCCCGTGCTGAGTGGGGTGGAGCCAGCCAGAGACTTGGCTCGTACTTCCTGTGGGTGTGACTGCCTGGGATCCTGGCAGACGCATTGGGCTGGGCCCGGCCGCAGGCGTGACTCAGTGGCTGAGCATCGACCTAAGAGCCAGGAGGTCAGGGTTCGATTCCCGGTCAGGGCGCAGGCCTGGGTTACAGGCTCCATCGCCAGTGGGGCGTGTGGAGGAGGCAGGCGATCCATGATTCTCTCTCATCATAGATGTTTCTGTCTCCTTCTCCCTCTTCCTTGGTCTCTGAGATCAATAAAAATATATGGAAGGAAGAAGGAAGGAAAGGGCCCTGGGCTGCAACAGGGGGAACCTGGGCTCCAGCCTCCTCCACGATCTGGGTCCCCGGACAAGGCACGTCCCTTGTCCCGTGTCTGTGTGCGGACAGCGGCATAGTGTGAGCTGGGATGGGCCCGTGACGTCTGATGAGACGTGCCCAGTGCTGTGACGGCAGCCAGACCCGGGCACGCTCCTATGAGCACCCTCGTCACCCTCCCTCTTGGCAAGTGTGCAAGTCTGTCCGGGAAGATGGTGAAGATATCTAAGACGATGGCGGATGTACCAATACAATGAATCCATAAAATGTATGCCCCGGCCTTCAGTAGATGCTTTGGGGGCAGATAATATTTTGAGGGTGGGAACCCGCCCTTTTCCTCTAGATCAGTGTTTCCCAACCTTCTCTCATGATGAGAATCACCTGGTGGAGTTGTTAAAACACAGATTCCCGAATCCCAACTAAGAAGTGCTAAACTAGGATTTTTGGGAACATATAGATAAAATTGTATACTTAACTAGTGCTCTAAGACAGATTTTATATACAGAGCACTAAGTTAGGTATGCAATTTTACCTATATGTTCTCAAAAATTCTAGTTTAGCACTTCTTAGTTGGGATTCGGGAATCTGTGGTTTAACAACTCCACCAGGTGATTCTCATCATGAGAGAAGGTTGGGAAACACTGCTCTAGATCACCAACTTACACCATACACAAAAGTAAATTCAAAATGGATACAGGACTTAAACGTAAGACAGGAAACCATAAACATACGAGTGGCATCCACAAGCATCAAAATCTCAGACATACGCGGAAATAAACTTCTTCACTGCTATTGCTACTAGGGCAGTGGAAGCTAAAGAGAAAATAAACAAATGGGACTACATCAAAATGAAAAGCTTTTTCACAGCAAAAGAAACCGTCAACAAAAACAACAAGAAAGCCCACTGCATGGGAGAACATAAACACTGATAAAGGTTTAATCTCCAACATCTACAGACAGCTTATACAACTTAATAAAAGGAAGATAAATGATCCAACAACAACAACAACAAAAATAGGAAACGGACCTAAACAGAATCTTTTTGAAAGAAGACAGAAGGAAGGCCAAGAGATACATTAAAACCTGCTCAAAGTCACTAATTACCCGAGAGATGCAAATCAAAACGACAATGCGGTACCATCTCAAACCTGTCAGAATGGCTATTACCAACAAATCAACAAACTGACAAGTGTTGGTGAGGATGCAGAGAAAAAGGAACCCTCGTGCACTGCTGGTGAGAATGCAGACTGATGCAGCCACTGTGGAGAGCAGTATTTCCTCAAAAAACTGAAAATGGAACTCCCATTTGACCCAGTGATCCCACTCCTAGGAATATATCCTAAGAAACTAGAATCACCAATCAGAAAGGATATATGCACCCCTATGTTCATAGCAGCACAATCTACAACAGCATGGATTTGGAAACAGCTCACTTGTGGATAGTAAAGAACATTATAAATCGGTGAACAAAAAGATAGATACCGAGGCAGTAAAGCATCAAACAGACTGTCAAATTACAGCGGGAAGGTTAGGGAGAGGTGGGGGAGATAAGAGATCAACTGAAAGTCTTATATGCATGCAGATAAGCATAACCAATGGTCTCAAGACACTGGGGGGTGAGGGCATGTATGGGAGTGGGGTAGGAGGGGGCAATAGGAAAATATGTACCCATATAATACCTTAATTTAAAAAAATGAAAACAAAACAAACAAAAAAAACACCTTTTTTTTTTTTTCTTTTTTTTTCCGGGCATAACACTTAATATATTTGCACCCAAACAGGGAGCACCAAAATATATAAGACAACTACTCACAGAACTAAAGGAAGAAACTGATCAAAA